GCCTTCTTCTGACCACAAGTGACCACCCGGGAGGTCACACAGACGCTGAGCCTGGCACAGCGAAGGCCCTTGCATGGGTGGAAAATGAGGCCGCAGTCCACTGAGTTCACGTTTTGGAAAGTGGTGATTTTTCATAGTTTTCTTCATCGTGTAACGGGCTCTCCATCCCATGAGAACGTGCGCCAGAGACCTGAGTTTCACATTGTCACCACCCGCACAAACAGAAGGTCCACCGGGATGGAGGGCCTGCTGAGGCTCAGCTTGTGCCACCTGGAGCTACCATGGTGTGACAGTCACTGCCTGGCGGAATGGCAAGGCTGTGCTGCCCCTCTGGGCTGCCCTGGGACCCGGGCTTCCTGTGGGCTCGCTCGTTTGTTGCCCTGGTCCCAGTCACCACGTCTCCAGAAGTTGTCTGTGCAGCGTGAGTGTGCCCACGCCTGGGCGCCTGCTCCTGCGTCACCCACTCCCAAACCAAGAGAGTCCCTGACCGGGTCCTGGGAGCAGCCTCGCCTGCTCGTGACTGCCACTCAGAGCCACGATGGGAGCTGGTGTCACAGCTGTGGGGGGCCCAGCGCCTGCCACTAGCTGTGGGCTGTGGCTGGATCTCAGCCCGGCCATCCTGGAGTGACTGTCGTCTTGTGTTGGCCTTGTGCCACTTTCTGCCCTGGGGGTGCTGGTGCCTGCGAATTGACCAGCTGATGCTAGAAGTGTGAGGACGCGCGTAGGGCCGGGGCCGTCTGGGCCAGTCTGGGGCCAGGAGGTGACGGCTCCCGTGCTGTGGTGTCATGGCTAGCAGCTAGAGGCACCAGCGGTTTTGGGGCCTTAGTGCGGGGCAGAGGCAGGGGGGCCTCTCTGTGAGCATAACGTGACAGGTGAGACTCAGGAGTCACATCGTGGCTGCCTCGGGCCGCATCTTGGCCTGGTGTCACATGGGTCTGCGTGGACTCAGTTGTGGCTGCGGCCGTCTCCGAAGTGACACGTGGCCTCTTTTTCTCCCCCAATGACAGCGGACCGTGTGAAGAAGGGGTTCGACTTTCAGTGGCCCCAGCCTGACAAGCCTATGTTCTTCTACGTGACCCAGGGCCAGGAGGAGATCGCCAGCTCAGGCACGTCCTACCTGAACAGGTGAGCGGATGCCTTCGGTTTTTGGATCGGGCTGGGACAGGCAGTGCCGCAGGCTCTGCCGGTGTCACTGGGCTCGGGTGTCCCTTGAGTGGCTATGGGTCCGTCGGGTGGAGGTGCAGCTGTCCACCCCGTCACCCTGCCCTGCAAACCTGTGCTGGGCCGGGGCGCGGGTGTGAGCGCCGGCTGCCGTCAGGACGGAGGCCGCCAACGTGGAGAAGATCACCACGAAGCTGCTGAAGGCGGGCGCCAAGCCCGACCAGATCGGCATCATCACGCCGTACGAGGGCCAGCGCTCCTACCTGGTGCAGTACATGCAGTTCAGCGGCTCCCTGCACACCAAGCTGTACCAGGTGCGCCACGGCGGGGCGCCGGGGCCGGGCCCGCTCTGTGCTCAAGGCTCGCTTGCTCCGTGTGGCTCTTGACCTGGGCTGTCCCGCCGTCCCCTCTCCCCTCCAGGAGGTGGAGATCGCCAGCGTGGACGCCTTCCAGGGGCGTGAGAAGGACTTCATCATCCTCTCCTGCGTGCGGGCAAACGAGCACCAAGGAATCGGGTTCCTAAACGACCCCCGGCGTCTCAACGTGGCGCTGACCAGAGCCAGGTGAGCTCACGGTGGCTGCCCTCGCGCCTGTGCTCCTGTCCCCTGCCCTGGCTGTTGTCTGGGCCCCGGGCCCCTTCTGTGCCATGGTGCCACCCGTCCACTAATCTGAGCTCTTTTGCTTCCAGAATACAACTTTTGTGAGTTGTTAGTGACAGGGTCCCCAAGGCAGCCAGGGTGTCTGTCCCTAGCTAACCCTGATGGCATCTGCCATGCTGCTGAGTGACAGGAGCCCTCGCTGGGTCACTCATGGGGCTCCCGCTCCCACACGGGCTCCTTTCCCGCTCAGGTGACACCGCTTTCAACTCGTCACCCTTCTTTCTGCAGTGCTGTCCTGGGGATGCTGGGCGGTGACACTCTTGCCCGCACACAGACACTGCCTCCGGGCTCAGTGGTCCTGGCAGGTGTGACCTGAGCATGGGGTCAGCTGCACCCAGGCCTCCATCCCCTCACGCGGGGGCTGTGAGTGCTGGTGTCCCCGGTTGCAGGTACGGTGTGATCATCGTGGGCAACCCCAAGGCCCTGTCGAAGCAGCCGCTGTGGAACCATCTCCTGAGCTACTACAAGGAGCAGCGGGCGCTGGTGGAGGGGCCGCTCAACAACCTGCGGGAGAGCCTCATGCAGTTCAGCAAGCCCCGCAAGCTGGTCAACACCGTCAACCCTGTGAGTCCCTGAGTCCCGTGTGTCCCCCCTCCCCCGCGGGACCTCTGTGCGTCCCTGCGCTGGCCTCACACATTCCCCACCTGTCTGCCACTCTGCAGGGGGCCCGGTTCATGACAACAGCCATGTATGACGCCCGGGAGGCCATCATCCCCGGGTCCGTGTATGACCGCAGCAGCCAGGGTGAGGGTCCTGCCTCTGTGCTGTTGACATTCCCACGCCCGCTTAACCTCTGTCACCTGCTGGCCTGCCGGGCCTCAGGTCAACACAGCCTGCCTGACAGCCTCCCTGTGGGGACTGAGCTGGTGGTCCTGTGTCCCCCTCAGGGATCGGCACTGCTGGCCCCGCGCAGCTGTGACCTCTGTCCCCATGGGCTCCCCACCTCCTCCAGTGGCCCCTGGGGTCCTGAGGTTTTGGTGGGGAAGTTGAGCTTGGTTCCCGAGTGGAGTGGAGGGTCTGTCCATGTCCACCCAGACCAAGCTGGACCTGTGCCCAGGAGAGCTCTTGGCTTCCTCACAGGTCCCCAGGCCCTGCCCCCGGCCGTGTCCCCGTCCACAGGTCTCAGTCTGACTGCAGACGCTGCCCGGGGAGCCCCGCCACCCCTCCTCCTGGCCGCTAGCTGTGGTGGGGACTGCCGCACACCACCATCCCCTCGCACTCTGTGTGTGGCCGGGCTGTCCCCACCGCGGTGGTGACACCTGCCGTGCGCTTGCAGGCCGGCCCTCGAACGTGTACTTCCAGACGCACGACCAGATCGGCATGATCGGCGCGGGCCCCGGCCACGTGGCTGCAATGAACATTCCCATCCCGTTCAACCTGGTCGTGCCGCCCATGCCGCCGCCGGCCTACTTCGGACAAGCCAACGGCCCGGCCGCCGGTGAGCAGGCGGGGAGTGGGTCGGCTTCGGGGCTGAGCCACGGTCCCCGGGGTCCCCAAGTGCCTGCCTGGGTGCCCTCCCTCGCCCCGCCACTGTTACGCTTGTCCGCGAGGCTCAGGCACCGCCCGGAGCCCTGCACTGTTGTCTTTCAGGCCGCGGCACCCCAAAAAGCAAGACCGGCCGTGGGGGCCGCCAGAAGAACCGCTTCGGGCTTCCCGGGCCCAGCCAGGCCAACCTCCCCAACAGCCAGGCCAGCCAGGACGTGACGTCGCAGCCCTTCTCACAGGGCGCCCTGACGCAGGGCTACATCTCCATGAGCCAGCCGTCCCAGATGAGCCAGCCCGGCCTCTCCCAGCCCGAGCTGTCGCAGGTGAGCCGCACGTGCCACCGCGCCCCGCGCTCCCCACGTCCCTGGGCTTCAGGACTGGGGCCACCCTTCCTTCTCCAGCTGCTGACGAGGGGCCAGGTGGCCTGGACTGTGGCCGCGTGGCTCAGTTCCCCGACCCTGTCTTTCAGGACAGTTACCTTGGTGACGAGTTTAAATCACAGATTGATGTGGCGCTGTCACAAGACTCCACATACCAGGGAGAGCGGGCGTACCAGCACGGCGGGGTGACGGGGCTGTCCCAGTACTAGAAGGCAAGCCCCAGCCGGGTCAGGAGGGGACAGGAACGGCGCTGTGTGGGGAGCTGTGGGTAGTGGGGCCTCCGCCTGGAGGAGGTGTCAGTGGCCGTGGCCGTGCTGTCATTGCCATTGGCGGTGGGGAGCCCTGCAGCCCCGGGTGGAGCCGGAGGCCCCCAGCGCCCTGGAGGGGTGGGAGCGCACTGACGGCCTCTTGCCCTGTCCCTGCCCGCAGGTGGCGACGGAAGAGCTAAGCTACGTGGCTTAGTCCATCAGCATCTTACCCTGGGTAATAAAAAATAAAAATAAACGGATACCTGTTTTCCACTGCTAAGACTGAGGCGCCCGTGTGTGAGCGACAGCAGGGCGAGCACCGAGGGAGAGGAGCGACAGGAGCCGCTGGCGCCAGGAGACGAAGGAGCAGCGCCGGCCCGCGGGGCGGAGGCCCAGCCGCCGGCCCCGTCCCCGGGTCCCCGGGTGGAGGCGGACACCTCGCGCAGAGTGGCCTCTGCTCTGCCCTTGCCTCCTTTGTCTCGGATTGGAAGGGGACAGCGTTTCCGCAGCAGAGACTGCGCCTTCTGCCTGGGCAGGCGCCACGGCCACGGCCGCCGCCCGTGTTCTCAGAAGGGTTTCATTTAATCGGAGGGTGTTTGGGTTCTGTTTGTTTCTAAGATTTTTCAAAGGAGTTCTCCGACTACTTTCCTGACACCCTAGTGGTGGACCTGGGACAGCGACAAGCACCAGAAGCGCCCTTAGAGGAGCCAGAGTGCCCGGAGGCGGGACGGACACCTGCAGCGCGGTCCCCAGGACTTTGCTGCCTTAGCCGCGGGGGGCCTCGGCCTCGCCGGGAGGGCGCGGGGCTTTCCAAGGAAGGGAGGGAGGGCGGCCCCGCGGGCCCCGCGGTGTGCGGTGTGTGCGCGGCGCGCCGCCCGCCCGCCCGACCCCTCCGGCAGCACCAGCGGGTGGCGGGCCTCGGGCGGGACTGTCCCCATCCCATCGCCCAGGCTTCGGTCCCCTTGGAGAGGCCCCGCCGCGCAGGCCCTGCCTCCCTCCGCCTTTGCTTCGCCGCCACCCGCGCGCGACCTCCGAGTCGCGCGCATCACAGCATCCAAACCACGCGGTGTCACTTGATTTTTGGTCAATTTGTTTTAAGCTCTTTTGTCACCAATAAAACATTAACAAAAACGGTCCGTCCTTGCTGGGGCGCGGGTCAGCGGCAGCCGCACTCGTCCACCACCATGTCCTCGTAGTGCCTGAGCACCACGTTGTCGCTGTTGTCGAAGAAGAGCACGGAGATGGGCGACAGGCGCGCGGGCACGCAGCAGGGCGGGCCGGCGCCGGGCACGAGCGCGCGCAGCACCGCGTGGTTGAGCGCGGGCGGCGCCCCGGGCGCGGGCAGCGCGCAGCGGCCCTGGCAGTAGTTGGCGAGGAAGCCGCGCGGCGCGATGACCCAGCGGTGCCAGCCCACGTCGCGGAAGCTCACGTACAGCCGCCGCGCGCGACACGCGCCGCCCGGGAGCGCCGCCTCCGCCCCGCGCCGCGGCCGGGCCAGCGGGTGGCACAGGCGCGGGTCCACGGTCACCAGCAGCAGCGAGGCCTCGGCCAGGGCGGCGCAGGCGGCGGGGGCGGCGGGGCTCCCGGGGCGCAGCGCCAGGGCCAGGCGGAGGCCGCGCGGCACCGACGCGTTGCGGGCGCAGGCGGCGGGCGGCAGCTCAGCGCGCACCGGCAGCTCCAGGCCCCGCACGGCGCGCCGCAGCAGCACCGGCCCGGGCCCCGCGCCCGCGTCGCCCGCCAGCGCCACGCTCAGCTCCCAGCCGCCCGCGCCGGGCCCCGCGGCCGCCGCCACCGCCGCCGCGAAGCGCAGCTCCAGCCGGGCGAGGCTCGCGCGCTCGGCGTCGTCCACGGCCGCCAGGTCGAACACCACGGTCCACTCGGGGCACGGCGCCCCCGTCGCCGCCGCGGGCTCCGCGGGCCGGGCGCGCGCACCTGGGCGGGGAGAGAGCTCGGCTCGCGCTGCACCCCGCAACCTGCGCGTGGGGCTCCGCGGGGCGCGCGTGGGGCCGCGGGGCGCGAACGGAGCGGGGAGGGAACCGCACTCACCGCGGGCCGGGACGTGCCGCACGATGTTTCCGGCGACCCCCAGCTCCTCCACGTGGCACGGTCGGACGGCGGCCCCCGGGGACGCCCGTCGCGGGCCCGCTCTGGCCTCCTGGGGGTCGCGGCGGCGGAACAGGCGCCACATGACCGGAGGCACCGGCCGGGGCGTAGGGGCGCCGCGGGGCGCATCGTGCAGCCCGAGAGCCCGGAGCAGGGCGGCCGCGGGGCCCGGGGGCGCGGGGGCGCGGGCGGGGGTCGGCGAGGGCAGCGGCAGGACCAGGAGCGCGAGGACGAGGAGACGGTGGACGGGACGGAGGCTCGGCGGCAGCATCTTCCTCCCGGCGACGGCCAGAGACGCGGCAGGGTCCGCGGCGACCCCGACCTGCGCGCGGGGGGCGGGGCTGAGGGCCGGGGGCGGGGCTGGGGGCGTGTCCACGGCCGGACACACTGCGGGGGGCGGGGCGGGGGGCGCGGAGGTCCCAGGTGATCAGCAGAGTCCTTGGGGGCGGGGGTCATCGGGCCGGGAGCGGAGTCCTGGGATTGGACGAGGTTTCCCCCGGGGGCGTGGCTGCAATCCAGAGGGGCGGGGCCAGGCCTCCAGGGGCGTGGCTGGCGCTAGGGGTGTGGTCAGAGCCCTGGGGGCGGGGCCAGTCCCGGGGCCGTGTTGGGCGGGTTGAGGGGGTCAGAAGAGCTTGTCCTTCACCAGCCCATTCCTCAGCGGCTTCCTGCAGGCCAGACCCGGTGCAGATTAGCATGGGAGCCCCGCGCCCCGCCCCTCCCCCCCTGCACCCCTCCCCCCAGGCCGTGGCAGGGTGACAAGCCAGTCCCTGCCCTGGCCCGACTCAGGCAGCACTGGCTGGCCAGAACCCCTGTGGCCCATGCCCTGCCCTGCGTCCCCCCGGCCGCCTCCCTGTCTGCAGTGTCCCTCCCCGTCCGTTCCTGTCACTCCATGTCTTACTTTTTGGGGTGCTGCTGGTGACGCAAAGCCTAAGGTAAGCGCTCACTCCACGCCTGAGATGGAGTGAACCCCGAAACAAGACGTCTACTTTGCACGTCTCAAAGGTTTGCCAAGAACGCGATGCGGGAGGTCCCCCCCCGGCCGCTGCTGCACTGGTGGCGGTCACTTTCCCCGCGGGGGTCACCCCTCGGTCTCTGCCGTCAGAGCCTCGCTCTAGGCCACTTTTTAGCTTGTTCTGCTGGGAGACCGGATCTCGCTGCGTAGCTGGCCTTGAACTCCTGGGCTCAAGCCGTCCTGCCTCAACTTCCCCAGTTGCTGGCACCGCACGTGTCCCCACCTCCCCACCGCACCTGGCTCAGCTGCTTTCCTTCTCTTGTCACCCTGACCTGCAGCTGGACGTCCTTTAACTCCAGAGCCCGGGCCTCTTCCCGGGGCCACTGGCCCCGCTCAGACTTGAGGCGGCATCATGGCTTCTTCCGACTTCTTTCCAGTCGCCGCCTCCGCGGGCGGAACCGGGATTTGCTTACATCCTGAGTAGCTGGGGCCCGCGGGTGTCACCGCAGCAGGCTGGGTGCCTGTACTTTCCGCCATTGGCATCTCCACCTCATGCTGCCCTTACCCCAGCTTCCCGACGGACGTGTTTGCTTTTCTGCACAAACTTCGCAGTGTCCCTTCCCTGTCAGTATTTCCCACTCGGGGAGGCAGGACGGCAACGAGGGGACATCAGATTGTCACCTACAGATTCAGCCCACCACCCAGCGGGGTGGAAGCCACAGAGAGAGAGAGAGAGAGAGAGAGAGCGATGGGGCGGACAGACGCCTTTCTTCCTGGGCAAGGAGAGGAGCAGGGTGGGCTCCCCAGGGACTTGCCAGGTCACTCGAGACCGGAGTTGCCATTGATGTCAACAGGAAAAAGCTCCAGAGAGGTGGGCGTGGGGGTCGGTCTTGGATGTTCCGAAGTGCTAGCTAAGACCAGGCGCTGTGGCTCACGCCTGTAATCCCGGCTACTCAGGAGGTAGACATCAGGAGGATCGAGGTTCGAAGCCAGCCTGGGGAAATAGTTCTCGAGACCCTGTCTCGAAAAACCCTTCACAAAAAAGGGCTGGCGAGTGGCTCCAGGCGTAGCGCGCCTGTCTGGTAAGTGTGACACCCTGAGTTCAAACCCCAGGGCTACCAAAAAAACAAAAAAAGTGGGGTGCAGCCGGGCGCTGGTGGCTCACCCCTGTCATCCCAGCTACTTGGGAGGCTGAGGCAGGAGAATCACTTGAACCCAGGAGTTCAAGGCCAGCCTGGACTACACAGCCACACCGCTGGTTCATTTTGCTCCGGCTCTTTGGAGATGGGGTCTTGAGAACTATCTGGCCTCAAACCGTGTCCTCCCCATCTCAGCCTCCCAAGTAGCTGGGATGACGGGTGAGCCAACATGCCTGGCTAATTATTTTGAAAACTGTGCACAAAATCACAGGTTGACTGTTGGTTCTCTGTGGCCACTTGTGGTGACACTTTGGTGACTGTGTCTTCCACTGTTCTCCTGCTCCCTGGGTCGTCAGGATGCTTTTGCACGGTGTGTCCTGCTGGTCTCCATTTTTGTTGGGATGAATGTGGGGCCCGACACCTTCCTATCTCATCACTTCCAGAAAGTTCTCAGCACCCCGTGTTCTCGGCCAGCCGGAGTCATTCTCCAGCATCCGTGGTCCCCAACTACAAACGCCACCGTGCCTTGGGTCATTTCTTCACAGCCTCCATTCACTGGGTCTCCCCAGCTGTTCCCATCAACTTGAGGACGAGATTGACTGTAAATTGCTGGGGTCACAGGCATGGCCCCCCCACTTTTCACTTCTTAGGACTTTGTTTTCCATTTGTGAAGTTTTTAGGTTTGCAGAAGAAATGCACCACCACCAAACAGTAAATAAATAAAAACAGGAACGCTCACGTGATCTGCCGGCGGATCAGATATGGCTCCTCCTCCCTCCCGAATTGTCTTTGGTCACTGCTTGCTCTGGAAGCTTCTAGCATGTTCTGGAAGATTCCTTAGCGAGACCTCACCCATCTCTACAGAACCCCTGGCTTGCATTCAAGGGACAGCTGCACGGGAAGTCCCTGTCCCCCAGTTGAGACCCATCCACAGGTGCACACGGCCCTGCCCGCAAGCAGCAGTTTGAGCCAAGAGTCTTGGGTCATCTCTGATTTTTTACTTCCGCGTTATCTACATCCACACCAAGCCTGCTGGCTCTCCCTTCCAGGCCTGTCTCACCACTCTTGTCCTGGCTGTGGCCAGACGATGGTGATGGCCTCCCGATGGCCACCCTGGCCTGCCCTGCACCCCTCTGGGGGTGACCCTCTCTCAGGCTTCCTCTGTCGGAGCCCGGCTTGGCGGGGACTCAGTGCTTCCACTGACTTGAGTGGTCGTAAGAGCTGTCCCTGGCCCTACTGTCAGGTCCCCCTGTTGGGGCTCTGTCCCCACGCCCCTTGGTCTTGAGACGGGGTGTCACTGTACAGCCCAGGCTACCCTGGACCTCACGATCTTCGGGGAGCAACCGCAGGCCCGGCCCCGGCACCACGGCCTGCCTCAGCCTCCGGCCTCCATCCTGACCCGGTCACGGAGTCTGGCCGACTGCCTCCCTCCGCGGCCTCCTGTCCCCCACTGCACCTGAGGCGCCTGCGGTCACTCGTGGGGTTCAGGCGCAGCTCGCCCTCCCCAGCCCTCCGCACCCTTCCCGCTGTCCCCGTCCCCGCGGTGTCTGCTGCAGGTGGACGCGGGCTCAGCCCAGTGGCCGTCCCCTCATTGGTGGCCGCGGCCGCCAGGCCAGCCCATCGCAAAGGGAAGGGACTCGGGGCGGGCCCTGCACACTCACTCGGCCTTGCTGGGCTTGGGGCTCTGGGTGTCCACCATGTCGTATTCACGCAGGTCTTTCAGCTCACGCAGCTGGCCCGTCAGCACCTTGGTGGCAAAGGCCACGATGTACTGCGGGAGGGGAGGGCCCAGGTGAGACGGGAAGCCACCTTCAACCCCTCATGGCCCCGGGGACCCGCTGCTGCCGCAGCCCCAGAACATCAGAGCTCACGGAGTGGGAGGTGGCCTGTCCCCCGGGCCTGGGCCTGGGCCCCGCACTCACCAGGAACCAGTAGACGTTCATGACAGTGAGCAGCAGCAGCAGCGCGTTGAAGAAGAAGTAGAAAGGGATGTCGGGCACCGAGATCAGGCTGGTGTGGCACGTGGCGTACAGGACCTTGAGTGGGAACCAGTAGAGGCGGAACCAGAACCTGCAAGGGAGGGGCAGGTCAGGGGGACACAGCGGCCCCACCCGGCCCCCATGGGGTCCCATTCACCTGTGTCTGCGCTGTCCCAGCCTCGGGTCCCCCGGCTCAGACCCATTTCTGACTGTCCTCCTGCCCAGCCCTTGCCCAGCTCGCCAGGCCCCACCTTCTCTGCCTAGCCCCACCCCTTTCCCTCCAGGCCCCACCCACTCCACCGTGTCTCTATCCTTCCGTCCCCTGCTCTGCCTAGGACCACAACTCACCTGCTCTGTCCCCTCTGACTCCATCCCTTCAGCTCTCTTCCTCTTCCCCTCAGGCCCCACTCACTCCGCCTCCTTCCCTGTCTGCCTCCCCCACTCCCTAGGCCCCGCCTCCTCCCCTACCTGGCTCCTCCCAGTTCCCTAGGCCCCACCCCTCCCCACCTGGCCCCACCCCTAGGCCCGCCTCCTCCCTACCTGGCTCCTCCCAGTTCCCTAGGCCCCACCTCCTCCCCACCTGGCTCCTCCCAGTTCCCTAGGCCCCACCTCCTCCCCACCTGGCTCCTCCCAGTTCCCTAGGCCCCACCTCCTTCCCTTCCTGGCTCCTCCCACTCCCCTAAGCCCCACCTCCTCCCCCGTCTGGCTCCTCCCACTCCCTAGGCCCCACCTCCTCCCCACCTGGCTCCTCCCACTCCCCTAAGCCCCACCTCCTCCCAGCCTGGCTCCTCCCACTCCCCTAAGCCCCACCTCCTCCCACTCCCCTAGGCCCCGCCCCTGGCAGCCCCGCCCCCTCACCAGCTGAAGCAGAAGCTGAGGCAGCCCAGGTCCGCCACCAGGGCGTGCAGCCGGCGGTAGGAGCCGCCGCGGGCCTTGAAATACACGTTGAGCTTGGTGAACTCCAGCTGCACGTCGCTGATGTCGTGCAGGAAGAGCACGAGGAGCCCCACGTTGTGGTACCTGGTGGGCAGGAAGGGGCCTCCTCATGTGTGTGAGCCCGGACCCTCTGCCGCCCTTGGGCTCATGGGCCTGGACCACTCGGTGTCCACACCCTACGCACTCGCCCGCATCCCCGCACACCACTGCCATGACGACAATCCCCGCTTCACATTCAGCCAAACATGGCTTCAAGCTGCACACCTCCAAAAGGCCGCTGCCGCGTCCCCAGTCGGCCCTTAAGAAATCTGAGGGCCACCTCTGTCCCTCCCAGCCCCACCTCGCCCGGCTATTTTCCTTTTCTGTCTGTCGGACACTTCTCCCGGTGTCTCCCAGGCTGGCCCCTCCCACGTGCACGGAAAGACAGGCGCGCAGCTCCACGCCTGGCTACCACGGGGGTTCCAGATGGCAGGATTCGTGGGCTGTGAGTCGGTCACGGGTGCCGTCCGGGCAGAGGCCTGGGGGCGGGGCGGGTGGCTGGGGGCACAGTGGCCTTTTCCACGCCATTCACCTTTGCACACGCCGTGCCCTCCACCGCCCACCCCGCTGCCTGTCTCCGCTCTCACCGGAAGGCGTAGGAGGAGACGATGAGGACCAAGGTGACCACGTGGTGGACGAGCATGACCACGGAGTCTTTACGCCAGGTGTCCATGTAGAGCGTGGCGTAGATGGAGTGACCGTAGAAGCTTCCCTGCAGCAGGTAGGCGGTCGCGATGTCCCACGGCACCGCCATGCCTGGAGTCCAGTCTGGGGAGAGTCAGACCTCACAGCTGGAGGTGGGGACCTCCCGGTGACCCCCTGTGACCCCGTGACACGATGGGCCACGTCCCCTGCACGCAGGTGTCCGCACAGCTGTGCTGGCTGCAGGCCCCTGTCCCCAGTTCTCCATCCATCAATTTTTATATTAATATATTTTTTTTTTACAGCAGGGCTGAGAGCGCTGCAGTTTGGAGCAAATGCAACATTGTCGCCAAAGTCACAGATGTGGATACCTTGTTACTCAATCCTCCCTGCTCTTTACCCATTCCCAGAGATTCCCCGGGGACGTCCCCAATGGCCACCTCCCTGGCCTCCTCCTCGCTGCTCCTGTTTTCTCAGCAACCTGGGCTCCCGCACCCCGCAGAACCCCAACTCCACGTCCACTTAAGCACAGGATGTCCTCTTCCAACCTTCCTCGCCCCGCCCCTCCCCGCCTCAAGGCACATCTGTGACTGTCATCAACTGCCACCCCCCGCCCCCAGGGCCAGCTCCCCACTACTTCAGCCTCCTCCTCTCCTTGGTCACGGCCCTCAGGAGCCTCCAGATATGAAGGCCAAGGGCGCACACACTCAGCTGTCCCTGTCCAACCCCCACCCCAAAAGAAAGAGTCTTTTAGGCTCCACTGGGGGCCCCTGCTCCTGGCCTCAGTGTCCCCAGCTCACGGACGGCCCTCCGTCTACGGAGGCACGCGACACCCCTCCCGCCTTGTTCCACTATGGTCTAGGCGTCCTTGCCTCCCACCCAGCACGCCCTGCCCCTAGCCAGTCATCTGTCCACTCTCTCTGTGGTGGCCTTGGTGGCTGCACACACAAACACCACGGTGTGACCAGCAATCCCACTCCTAGAGATGTGCCCAAGATAACTGCAAAGAAAGAAAGAATGACTGGCAGCCAGGTTCTGCAGTCACACTGTAATCCCAGCTACCTGGGAGACTGAGATTGCGAGGATCGTGGTTCAAAGCCAGGCAAATAATTCAGGAGACCCCATCTCCAAAATAACCAGAGCAAGACAGGAGCCAGTGGCTCATGCCTGTAATCCTAGCTACTCAGGAGGCAGAGATCAGGAGGAATGCAGTTCAAAGGCAGCCTGGGCAAATAGTTCACGAGACCCTATCTTGAAAGAAACCCTTCACAAAAAAGGGTAGCCTCACAAGCATGAGGCCCTGAGTTCAAACCACAGTGCCTCCAAAACAAAACCAAACAAAAAACCCTACAACTACAATTACCCCATGATCCTACTCATTGGTGGCCGCCAGGGTGCCAGAGCCGGGGGAGGGGATGGGGGGCAGCTGATGGGGACAGGGTCTCTTTAGGGAGGATGAAAATGTCCTGGAACGACACGGAGGTGGGGGTTGCAATAGCACTCTAAACGCCATAAATGCTGGATTGTTCATTTGTTGATGTTTTTAACCCAGTGTCACCCTCCCCACTCCTCTCCGTGTGGCCCTGGACCCTAAACCTCTGGACCGTCACCAGCCTGCCTGAGCCCTCTTCCACAGGGCAGTCACCTCAGGGCTCCCTCTGAGGCCCAGCAGGGCTGTCCTGAGGTTGGCCTTAGGGGGTGTGGGGGTCTGGAGAGGGGACAAAGGACCTCCCAGTGGCGTTCCAGGGAGACACCACGCTGCTGAGCCCTGGAGGTCCCCTCCCCCACCGTCCCCAAGCTCCGAGTTCCTCCTCCAGCTCCACGTCTGCAGTCGAGGCGGGTGGCACACAACCGTCCACACCGGGCCACTTCCGAGCGTGACTGTCAACCCCAGCCCTTGCCAACACTCCCAGGGCCACCTCTCACCAAAGCCACTGAGGTGAGACCACACCTCCCCCAGATTCCTCTTCCAAACCCAGCCCTGCCAGTTACCATCTTGCTTGGGATCACGGAGTCCAGCGTGTCCCCACCCTTGACCTCTCACAGTTGGGCAGCAGACCCTACCGGCCGGCTTTCTGCACACGTCTGTGGTCACCTCCTCTCTCGGGTCATGTCTGTCCTAGTTGTGGCCCCCTACGTTGGCCCCTGGGACAGATGGTCAGGACCAGCCACGGTGGGTCGGTGTGCTTTCAGCCCCCAGCTCAGCCCCAATGCTGACTGCCGCCGCCCACCCCGTCCCCCACACCTACAGTGTCCACTGCCCTCCTTGCCCTGGCCTGTGCCACATTCAAAGTGACCTTCAGCAGGGCCATCCTTGTCACTGTTGAGCCCTGACCCACCTATTCACAGACACTGGTGCTCAGTGTCCCCCACCACGGGGTCAATGCGGCCTCTGGTCCCCAGCTGTGGAGCACAGAGCCTGGTATACAGTCGGCAGTTCAGCTGGGGTGATGCTCAGCGGCAGGGTATTTGCCTAGCATGTGCAAAGACACAGGTTCCATCCCCAGCACCATCAAAAGAAAGGAAAACACTAGGTGCTCAATAAATGCACAACTCCAGGCCCCAGATGTTGAATCCAATCACGGGTCATCCGTATACAGGAATATTGGGTGGCTGATGACACCGCCCCGCTAGGGATGTGCATGGGATGTCTGCACTGGCTTGGAGCCACCAGGGGCCCTCTCGGGCTGTCCCTGTCACACAGCCATTGATGTGTGACATGGTCCACCCAGCCGGTCAGCACAGGACAGAGAACCCCGGCCCCACCGCAGATGGGTTTTCCACACTGGCATCTCAGAAGCCACCCTGCCTCCGGGGACAGGTCACACGAAGGATGCTGGTGTCACCTCTTGTCCAGTCCACTCAGACTCCAGCCTTGGTGACATCCACTTCAAATCCAGTCAACCAGATGCAGTCACTTATTACGTGGGAGTGACTGCCCCAGAGGCAGCCAGAGGAGGCATTTTATCAACCCCAAACCCCATCCCATCCTATCCTCAAACTCCCGCCACAAGGGCCCAGAAGCCACCTCGAGTACCCCAGGGCCTTTGCACGTGTCATTGACACCTGTGATTCTCACCTTGGCCCATGGGCCTCCTCTGTCCCCCTCCAGGGCCTGGTATACGGTAGGCGCCCCCTTTCCTGGCTCCAGAACCCTATGGCCACTCTTATCTTGGGGCTGGCTTGACATCAAGACATCCATGGGGGGGTCTGTGACCTGTGCACGTGTGTTTCAAGCAGAGTCCCCCCTCCCGGCCCCCCAGGCCCCTACCATAGAAGGCGGACGGCGGGTCGTAGAAGAACGGGTAGTCAGTGCCAAACAGCAAGTAGGCGCTGTAGCTCCAGCAGCCCAGGTAGAACAGAAACTTCCAGGCGCTCTCGGGCAGCTTGGCGGCATCTTTGGGCTGAAGGTGGCACCGCTTGGCCAGAGGCTGTGGGTGAGACGGTGGGTGGCAACTGGCACCGGGGACCAGGAGCTGCTCCTCCAGGGTGGGGAAACGGAGACCCAGGGACTCCCCAGGCCGGGAAGTGTTGGGGAAGGCCTGGCCCCCACGATCATAACCGCCTGGGGTAACCAGAGCCCATGTGTGGCTGCCAAGGGCTAAACTTAGCACCCAGCTGTCCAGCCCTGCCGGGGAGAGGACGGGGGACCCTGTGGGAGAGGGACGGGGGCGGGGGGTGCTCAGGTCACGATGGCGGCTGAGGGTGTCATGGGGCGACCCATGAAGGGAAATATAGGAGCCTCTGAGGGAATATGGGAGGCTGGATCCTCACTGGGGAGCTGTGAAGAGAAGAGGGGAGCCCGGGAGGGGGAACTGGGGGGGATCGGGGGAGGGGCTGGGGAAGATGGCGCCTGTGTGGGGAAGACACGTGAAGTTGGGGGAGACCAAAGAAGGGCGGAAGGGGCTGGAGGCAGAGAGGGCACATGGTGAAGGGGGATCACAGTGAGAGCAGAGGCCAGCTGAGACTTAAGGGGACACTGGGAGAACAGAGAGACTTGTAGCAATGGGAGGGTGGCCACAGAGGAATTAGAAGGGTAGGGGTCAGAGAGTGGGAGGGGCCTCAAGTGCCCGAGGGGCGGGGCTTCAGAGCAAGCCCCGCCCCTTCCCCCAGGGCTGAGGGGGCTGGAGGAGCCCCGGAGTGGTTGTCTTGGAGACAGGCAGAGCCAGCTCCAGTAACCCCTGGCAACCAGGCTGCTGCCAAGAAGATGAGCTTAGAAAAATGGCAGCCCCTCCGCCCATTTCTTGGGAAGGGTGAGGCTGGACCTGGGAGCGCACCCCACCCGGGCTGGGGGGCAGAGGTGGGGGGGCCCTGCCATGGGACAGCTTGGTCTTGCAGGATTCCAAAAATCAGGGTGCGTGACTTTGCTACCTCTTCCCACGTCCTGGGGAAGGCAGGGGGAGACCCCACCTCCCTGGCAGCCTGCATCCCCCTCCCGGCGCCTTCCTCTTCCCAGCTGGAAACCGGGAGCGTGCGGGGCGCACAACCCAGCTGGGGACCAAGGTGACCATGGAGCCGCCCCCTCACACCTGCCTTCCCCTCCGCACAATAGGGTGGGTTCCGGGGTCTCTCCGGCGTGTGGGTGATGATGGAAAGACAGGGTGGGCACAGTGGCAGCCAGACAACAACCAACAAGAGCCAGCCTCTTCCCGGCCAGCAGAGAAAGGCCCCTTTGTTGGCGCTGGGCACTGTGTCCCCGCACCCTCTACCACCTCCAGTCAGACTGGGGCGGGGTGGCCCCAGCCAGTCCCTGGGGGTGTTTGCAACCACAGGAGTGGTGCAAACGCTTTACCACCGGCTCCTGTCATAGAGACCCCCTCCCCAGGGAAGGGAGTGGGGTCGCGTGCCAACGGTGTGGCCATGATTGCCACTCTCCAACCTGGGCAGCACGCTCCTCATGCTCACCAGAAACTGAGCAATTAGGTCAGGCCTCTTGGAAACAGTCCCGGCCCAAAGACACAAGCCATGTCACCTCCAAGGGAGAGAGACCCCCGGGGTGGCTTTGGTGCCCAACCCTGGCTGGAAGGTGACGCTGAACCACCAGGCAGTTCCTGTCACTTGCACTTGCCCATAGCAGTAGCTAAGGCGCCAGAGTGTGTGTGGGGGGGGGGAAGATGGGGGGGGGCATGGCGCAGGCGGCCTCTGTGTGCCAGGCTTCCCCGTGTCCCTGTCTTCGGTTTCTTCGTCCCCAGAAGAACAGGGTGCGGCCCCTCACCGCGTGGGGTCCCCCAAACCCAACCCGAGTAGGGCCCCCATGTCCTGGGCTCATCGCCCGAGCCCGGCCACACCCCCGCATCCACCGCACCCTCTCATCCCGCGCGGTGGTTCCAGGCCGCCCCCCCCATATTCCAGTGACAACCCCTCCCAAACATCCCCCCCACGAAGGTCAGCACACGCGTGGCGGCCCCAGGTCCCTCGCCTGGGGCACCTTCCCGTGTCCCCTCCTCCCCCACCCCAGCCCGGAGTCCCCGCGTCCCGGGCCCCGCGGGTGGCACTGACCCGAAAGAGGCGCGCGGTGGCCGCGGAGCGCAGCGCGGTGAGGCCGAGCGCGCCGAGCGCCAGCAGCAGCAGCTCGGGCGGCGCCAGGTGCGCGTGCTCGGCCAGGCCCGCGGCGCGCCAGCCCCCAGCCGCAGTCCGCGCAGCCCCGCGCGGCCGCCAGCGCGCTGCCCAGCCGCGCTGCACCAGCTGCGCGTAGCTCGGCATGGGCTCGGGCCCCGCCGGCCCCGCCGCGCTCCCGCCGTCGTCGCCATGCGCCCGCTCGCCCGCCGCCGTCCCCCGGTCGCCTGGGCCCCGCCGCCGCAGTGGCCGCCGGAGCCGCGCAAACCGCGTCACGCGCCGCAGCTGGGCCGGGGGGCGCGCGGAGCCCTGGTGCTGAGCGTGGAGGGCGGGGCCGGCGCAAGCTCCGCCCCCACTTGGGGCGGGACCGACGCGAAGTCCCCGCCCACCGAGGCATACTCTATAAAAGCCCCGCCCTCCGTGGGCGCGCGATAGTCAAAACCCCGCCCAATGTGGGCGTGTGACAGTGTAAGCTCCGCCCTCGTCGGGGCGTGGTCGATACAAAACTCCACACCTCCGAGGGCGGGGACGACCGGGTACTGTACGGCGGGGAGCGGGGGGCGGGGCGCGTCCTGGAGGCGGGCCCAATCGTGAATCCGAGGGGCAACCGAGGTTCCGTTAAGCCCCCCGCCCCACATCCATGCAACGGAGGCCTGGATGGTTTCCTGGCCACCCGGCAACCAGGAAGGGCCTGGCCAATGAATCTCCGTTCCAAAAAAGGACGTCCCCACCCCCCTCAGTGCCCACGGGGCTCCTGGCACGGGACCCTAGGGTTCCAACCTGGCTCAGAGACCGTGATCACTCCCAGGTTTCAGGGGGACTTCTGAGGCTGGGTTCCTGTTGTAAGGGGGCTCCCTGTGGGACGGAGAGGGCTGAGGTCCGCCTGCTGAGCTCTGAGGAGGACCCAGAAGGCCCCCCAAGCTTCAGGTCAGCACCTGCCCTGGGACGAGGCAGACGGACTGGGTACCCATGTGTGGGGCTCAGAGAATCTGGGACGAGGATCATGACGTCATCAAGTGACCTTCCACTGTCCAGGCCCTTTGCCCAGGACCACCCCCACCTGGCCTGCAGGAGCCCAACTGCTAGCCCACTCTGACCTTCAGGTGCACTGGGGAATAAGGGCAGGGGGACAGTGGGGTCCTCCCCTCCCCTTCCCCACACCCAGACCTACAGTCAGTCCTTCCACCCCACTGTCAGGAAGAGGGTCTGAAGCTGGCCACTTCTCTGGACCTGTATGACCTGGCTCCCTCCTGTCCCCATGCAAAGGCCAGAGGGACCTGCTAACCCTTCAGGCCCCTCCCTCCTGCACCTACGGCCCTGGCCCTCCACTGCCCCTCTTACATCAACAGCCCAGTTCCTCCCTGAGCTGGGGTCCCAGGGCCTCTGCACTGGTTCCTCCCAAGCTCGCCTCAGCTGTCACTTGCCCAGTGCCCCTCCCTGACCCCCACCGCACCCCTTGTCAGTCTTTCTGGCTGGTCATTACCCGGTGTTCACCTGGCTCACTTTTCTAGGATGAGTACCCTGTGGGCAGGGGTCCCTGCCTCCCCTGCAGGGAGTTGGATCAGGTGAGGGGCCTACAGTGTGCATGTGAGGAAGGACCTGATGCCTGCCTGGATGGCCTCCTCCCAGGCCACGGGGCAGACCTGACTTCCCGCACTATCTGGTCACCATGGTGCCCATCAGTAATGGGAGAGTGTCTGCCCACTGCCGGCCTGGTTCTCAGCCTCGTTTCCATTTGGCGGTGGACTGGAGGCTGCTGACGGTGGGTGCAGGGTTGCAGTGGTAAGTGGCCCATGTTGCTGGCAGCAGGGATCAGGGCGCCAAGACACCTGGGGCCCCATCAGGGGCCAACCTCCCTTCCTCTGGGAAACTAGCGCTGGGACCAAGTCCTGACCCTATTGTCTGATGAGGCCTTTCTGCCACTGGACCCCCGCTGGGCAGGGAAGAGCTGGGGTGGGGGGGTCACTTGTCCTGTCCTCGCAACCAGGGACAGGGCTTGGCCACCCCCAAGACAAATGAGACCAGACCAGAAAGCCTCATCTCCCTGGAGATAGAGAGAGGCAACACCCACGCCTGGCCCAGCACCCTAAGGGCCACTGACCCTGGCTGGCTCACAGCCACCTCATGCCCATGTGGCCTCAGGGCCTTTGCACTGGTGCCTGTCCGCCAGAACCTGGCCTAGAGGCACACGGCTCAATGGTGACCTCACCCGAGGCTCCTTTCCTCTTCCTCAGCCCAGCCCCAGCCAGCCACCACCTCTGTGTCTTGTCTGGCTTCCTCTGACCACAGGGTCCCCTCACAACAGAACAAGCCCTTAGAGGGCAGGGAACTCTGTGCTGGTCCACCTATGGGTCCCGGGGGCAGAGAGCCTCAGTCCAGGGACTCTCAGTGTCCCCCGGGCAGCAAGGGGCAGGGGCAGGGGGAGGTTCCACTAAAGTCCTATAGAGGGGCACTTCCTCCAGACCACCAAGGGGCCCGAGTTTGAATCTTGGCACCTTTCATGATGGGTCATGGTGGACCTGCACCTCAGTTTCCCTGGATGCCAATCAAGGCTGCTCGGGGCCCTGTTGGGCACAGGCTGTGTGATGTGCAGCCCAAGAGGGCGGGGTTGGCAGCCATGTGAGCAGAGGGGGCTCCACACGGCTGCTGTTCCATCTGCAGACCCTCCCTCCAGCCTCTGTCACCGCCAAAGAGGCCGAGTGCAGCACTGGGTGGGGACACTGCAGAGTCAAGACGTTTATTGCCAGAAAAGGAGAGGAGCGAGACCCCAGCCCGGAAGACGGTGTGCGGTGCAGGCCTGGAGGCCCCGGCGCGGCGTCTGTGGGCTCTGTGGGCTCAGGCGCTGGGGGCATACTGCAGCACCAGCCGGTCAAAGTCGTTCTCCTGAAGCAGGAAGGGGACAGTGACAGGGAGCTCGTGAGCCTGAGCGCAGGCTTGGCCAATGCTGGTGAGGGCCGAGCCACCTGCACACACTCACCTTGGCCTGATACTCCTTGATGAACGGGTGCGACCTGTGGCCATCCTTTAGCTGGGACAGGTAGCGGTTTGTCACCTGGCGGCAAGCGGGGGTGGGGAAGAGGTTAACCAAACTCTGGGAGCCCAGGCAGCTTGGACCTGCAGGGCAGAGGCTGACTCTGCAAGAGGCTCAGAGAGGGCACAGGGGGGCACCACCTAGTGGGTCAGGAGAGGCCCCAGCCCCGGAGCGGGGTTGGACAGAGCGGGCACTAGCCCGGCAAGGGAGGTGGGCAGGGGAGGAGAGAATATCCTGGCTGCACTTTGTATGGTGACACACCCAGGATAGGGGACTAGAAACAGGCCAGGCAGAGCCCTCCACCAGGAGACCTCAGTCCTGGGTCTTTCCCTCCGTCCTGCGCCCACCCCACCCTGAAGGGGCACGGCCCAGGCTCAGGGGCCCTCCCGCTCCCGAGTCTGCTGGGTCCTTGGAGCAGACCACCAGTGCCTGGGCGGAGAGGGGACCACACTGCTGGCGCTGTGGGGATGGGTCCTACCTCAGGGGCTTTGCCCACATGCTGTGACAGGACAATGAGGTTGATCAGTGTCTCTGGGTGGCTGCTGTCCTGGAAACACAGGCCAGGTGGGTGGCAGGGTCAGCACCCTAGGCCCAAGCCACCTGTACTTCCCACCCTACCCCCCAACCCGACTTGGGTGACCCATGCAGGTGACCCCCTAAGCCAGGCTGCAGGACACAGTCACGCCCACCACTCTGCAATGCAGTGGCCTTAGGGTGACAGTGCCCAGGGGTGTGCATCCTGCTGCCCTGCTGCAGCTGATGCTGAGCCTCAGTTTCCCTCTGTAGAGCAGCCTGCATCCTGCCCCTTCTGAGGCGCCAGGGCTGCACTTCCGCCTGTAGCCACAGGGCCCAGGCTAGGTGGTGACCTCACTGGGCTTCAGGACATGAGGCGCACAAGCCAGGGACACTGCCTGGAGCCACTGTGCCAGCTGGGACCTGGGCTGCTGCACAGGCTGAGCACTTCAGTGGAGGTTTGAATTCCCTGTACCCGTTTTTGCCACACCCATGGGACACGAGCTGGGCTCAGACACAGCAGTGGATGGGGACGCCAGGCACAGGGGGCACCTGGGACCCTGGCACTCGGGGCCATGAGTTCCAGGCCATTCCGGGCTACATGTTAACACTGTCCCTGGGCAAGAGGAGCACGGGCACCTCCAGACAGCAGTCAGGACAGATATGGGGCATCCCAGGCATGGGGACGCAGGACAGCCACAAGTGGCATTTTGAGGATGGGAGCTGCGTAACTGGCATAGTGCAATGCCCCGTGGGGTGTCACGAAGCCCACAGAGGATGTGGCCAGACACCTGTCATTCTAGCCGTGGGGGTGGAGCGGTCACAGCCTGCCTCAGAGCCACAGTAGGCTAGGACCCCAACTGCCCGTCACAGATGCTGACAGAGGGCCTCGGCTGGGGCGCGGCTTGGTGGGCGTGCATGGTCGGCCCGCGCGAGGCCCCGGCACGACTATGTAGACATGGAGGGCCCTGCCCAGGACACAGCCCTCAGATGCCCATGCAAGGCCCTGGCCGTCCCCTCACAGCTTCAAGTGAGGCTGGCCTACTTGCCGCCAGGAAGCGCCTGCAGGCCACTGCCTCTCTTCCCTCCCCACTTTCCCCTTCTTTTCTTCCCGAGGTGCTGGGTTTTGAGGTGCCGGGCTGCAACGGGGCCTCTGCGGGCTCAGCAGGGCTCACTCCTGTCTAGCCGCACTCCAGGCCCGGGGTTCATCAGGATGAAAATGTTTCCCCACGTGGACACACGTCTGTCAGGGACACACGGCCACCCCCAGGAGAGGCCACTGCCTGCAGTCCCTCACCCCAGTCCCCACTGGCCGCGTGTGCCAGGCTCTGGTCTCCTGAGGCCCATGCTACCCAGCTCCTCCCCTCCTCCCCTCGGTGGAAGGAGCCAGAATCGGATCTCCACAGGCATTGGAACCCTCGTGACCGCCCACCTTGTCCAGGGCCTCTTGCAGGACGCCCTCGGCCGCCTCCCAGCGGCCCTGCGCCATGTGGCAGGCCGCCTGGCCATTGAGCAGCAGCATGGTGGGCGAGCACTTGTCGGCCAGCTCCTGGAAGATGTAGTAGGCATCCTGCAGCTTGTCACCACCCTGCGGGGACACCATTGCTTGTCATTGCTCCCACCCGGCCCCTTGCCTGACACACTCTGTGGACACCAACCTAGGGTACTCAGCTCCCCACAGACCCCCCAACAGCCTGGTTCCTGCCCACAAGGTCCGAGGCATGTGGCCTGGGACACGCAGCCACTTCATACCTGGCTCGCCAGTGCTCAGTTCACAGACACGGGGACTGAGGCTTTCAGTGGCACATGTACTGCACAAGTGGCAGGACCAGGGCTGTGCTGACTACAGGCCACAGGGTCCATCAGAGGTAGTGTCTGCTCCATGACTAGCAGTCCTGACCTGTCCCTTTCTGGCGACACAATGTGACACTCTCAGGGGGAGAACAACCCAGAGCTGGGTACGGAGGTGCAGGCCTGAGCTCCAGATACCAGAGCCAGGACTTTGAGGGCAGCATGGCATCAATGCCAGGCTGACCCAGACCCTGGCTTTAGGTAAGTGAATGGAGAAACCCATTCGTAAACACGTAAGTAGAGCTTTGTGAAGGCTGTCGCTTTGAGAAGGCTGGCGGGGCTGGCGGTCCCTGTGCAAGAGGCATTTGAAAAGCCAAGACAAAGCAGCTCAGGACGGGAGCCAATTCCCAGAGGCCGGAAAGGGGCGACTGTAGGGGGTGAGTGCCAGACGGGGAGGGAAAGGGGGCCGAGGACACCTTCCAGCTTTGGTGGGAACATGGACTGTCACAGTCTAGGAGCCTGGAGAGCAAAGCTGAGCCCCACAAACCCAGGGAGACGGGAGGAGGCCGGCTGCCCAGTACACTGTGTCCCCTCCAGGCACAGCCAGGCCTGTGGTTCTGGACTCCCACCCATCTGCTCACCCAGGCTCTGCCAGGTCCCTCGGCTACGACAGGTGGCAGTGAGCCAGGAGGGACAGGTTCACAGAATACAGTCCCCAGGGCAGTGGCCATGGGCAGCCAACTCTGATTGGCCACCCACAACTCTTGCCGCCAGCCCCCTGCATGGCCCCAGGGCTCACCACAGCCAGGTTGACCCAGGCGGTGGCCAGCTGGGTGAGGGTGGCATCCTCATCCTGGTCCTGCATTCTCTTCAGCTCCTTCCTATGGGGAGAGGGAGGTGCTGAGTGGCCAGGGCCACCTGGGGCCACCCTGGGGCCTGGCTGGGCACCTCTACCAGATGGGCCAGGAGGTGGCTGCCCCAGAGGGCACCAACAGTCCAGTGCAGAGCACAGCCCAGCCCGAGAGCAGCTCTCCAGCTGTGGATGACCGCACAAGGGCAGCCCCGAGGCTGCGTTCTAACAGCAACACCCGGTAGGGGACGTGCAGGCCCTATGGGCATCGTGCATAGTTAATTGTCCAGCTGTACTGCCCTCAGGGAGTTTGGCCCAATGTCCCCTCTGTGCCATCCTCCCCTCCTCCCCAGCTCACAGGGGAAACCGAGGCACGGGCAGCAGGGAGGGTGGGCAGCTGGGCAGATGCCATGCCCTGGGGAGGGGCTCACCTGGCGAGGTCCAGGCGGTCCAGCTTCAGCAGGATTTGCACTGTCATGGCTGTGCTGCGTGCAGGATGGGCATGGTGAGCAGTGGCTGAGACCCACGGCAGGCTCCCCACCAGGGCCCACGCGTGGTCCCTCCCAAGAGGGATGCTGGTCCCTCACTCCCTGACTGAGCCTGCTCATACCCGGGGTCCCCGTGGGTCAGCAGGCTCCCAGCCCATGGCCTCCTGCTGGCCACACCTGCAAACGGGGATCGTGGGCTGGACTGGCTGCCTCTATCTTGAGGCAGGGGACTCAGGAGTGAGGTCCCTCGGGAGCTGCACCCACACCTCCTTTGGGATGGCGGGGCCAGGGCCCTAGGCGTCCTGGCATAGTGGCCTCCTCGGGCCATAAGGTACTGCTGTGCCACTTGTCCCGGAGCCCCACCTGGCAGGGCACACCCAGACTCCCCAGATCTGCACGGTTCTTGCCACTCTGCTCTTTTTCTGCAGGACTGGGGGGCGGGGGAGCAGCAGCCAGGGCCTCGTGCTCACCACTGGGCCACACTCTGGCTCTTCCCTGGTTCTAAACCACTGCGGTCCCTCTGTGGATAGGGATGGGCCAGGAAAACAGGAACCTCCAAGCCAGAAAAGGTGGGGAGGAAGGTGGCAGAGGGCCAGCTCACAGGGATGGACAGGTGAGAGCTGGAGCAGGGCTCTGAAGGGGGCTGGCCTGGGGGCCTGAGGCTGAAGACAAAGATGCTGTCTGCTGTGTGGGGGACTGGGGCTCTCAGCTCCGGGTGCCGTGTCCTTGGGGCACCAGACAGCCACGTGGATGTCCCCGGATAAGAGCGGGGACTGCAGCCCAATGGGAGGCCTGGCCTTTCTCCCAGAGCCGCCCCATTCACCATTCCCACGGCGACGGCCAGTGAGGCCCAGGCAGGCTAGACAGAGGGGCCACTCACCACTCGCACTGCCCTGGGTGGGCTTGAATGTCCCCTTTCTAACTCATATTAAAACTAACTGCCACGACAGTCTTGAGTCGCTAAGGCCCTGCCCTTGAGGTGATGGTGCAGCCACTGTCCAGGGGGCAGCTGTGGTCACCTCCTCTGTCCTGCCCTTCCCCCATGTTGAGGACAAACCACAAAGGCCTAGCCAGGCCCGAGCCCTGCACACCTGTGCCACACCTGTGCTCTCTGCAACCTTCATGGCCTCTGGCACTCTGCTACAGCTCAGAAGATGGCCCAAGACAGTCCCCAGGGTGGGCGCAGTGGTGACACCTACCACTCCAGGCTGTCCCCCTGGTGCAGAGCACGCAGGGCAGCATCCGGGTTCTGGTCATGGAAGTAGATGGAGGCGGCCATGAGCAGGAAGGTAGTGTTGGTCACGTCCACGCTTCTGCTCATCTCCCGGTCTAGCTCAGCCACAATGGCGTCCCTGCAAGATAGGCTGCTCAGGGCCCAGCCCAGGGGCAGGAGAGGTGGCCTCGCCTTGAGGACGGGAAGGTCTCAGAGGGTGAGCCAGGCCCCCAGGGCACTTGGTGCAGGCGGCAGTGACAAGCAGCCCCAACAGGGGGTGCCGGCCCTGATGCCATGCCAACCTCGTCATCTTCCCGTAATGCACCTCTCACCCCTTACACAGATAGGGAAACTGAGGCCGGGGGAAGTGGGACCAGGTGCGCCAGGCCTCACGAGGGAAGCTGTGGTGTGGGAGGGGCACAGACAGCCTACAAGTGAGCCAACTTCCAGTTCCTGCGGTCTGAGTGCTGTGTGGCGAGCGCCATGCTGGGCTCAGGGCCTCCCAGCACCCAGGAGGCAGGGACCACCAAGAACACAGGGCCAGGGCACGTGCTGACGAGAGCACTGGAAGGTCAGGTCTTTGCAAGTGTGTGCTTGTTCTTCCTGTGCAAGAGGAGGGGGTGCTCCTGGGACCCCATAGCACAACCCATACCTCTCCGAAGCCTGCCTGAGAAGACAGGTTGTATGACCTACACGCTACACGCCAGCGCCCCAAAGCCCTTGGAAGCAGGGCCATCACTGCCCTCACTTCAGGAGAGGGACACCGAGGCACCAGGTGGTGGGGCGGGGAGGAGGGACGCTCTGCCCTTCAGCCCCCAGGCTTAGGACCAACAGCCTTGAGGATCTGTGGCCTGGTCCACCCGCCCCAGGGCTGGGCCTCCCTCACCTGCGGGTCTCGCTGGCAAGGTACTCAGCAAATGTGCGCACGGCCTGGAGTTCGGGGGCCGCAGAGGGTCGGATCTCATCCAGGACCACGCCAAACTTCCTCTGTGACAGGGACAAACTGGATTCAGCCCTTGCTATGTCCTCTGTCTGCAGGCAGGAGGGGCCCTGCTCTGCCCTGGCCTGCCTAGGCCCTTTGACTCCGCCTGCATCATTCCCAGCACAGCACACAGTGGCACCTGTCACAGGCAGTACCTGTCAGGCCATGCTGCCCACTGCTCTAGCTGGGGGGCCCTAGCAGGTCCCTTCCCAGCTGTCCACCCCTGGTGGCAAGGGGCAGGTGGAGGTGGGCGCCCCTCCCGGGGCAGGGCAGTGTCAGCATGGAGGACAGGGACCTGGGCACAGGATTTTATGAAACAGGACGCCCCCACCCCATCCCATCTCTCTCTTGTCCAACGGGCTCTCCTCTGATGCCTGGCTGAGGCTGTAGTCACCTATGGAACTAGCAGGCCTGCCCCTCACCATATTCCATCCTGGATGGCTGACATTTCTATTGTCATTTTTTTTTTTTTTTGACACAGGGTCTCCTGTAGCCGGGCCTGGCCTCTCAGCTCTCGATCCTCCTGCCTCTGTCTACTAAGTGCTGGCGTGATTGAACACGAGAACACACTCTTACTGCATTACCAGCACAGAGATGCATTTAAAAACATTAGTGAAGCCAGGCATGGTGGCACCCCCCGAAATCCCAGCACTCAGAAAGCTGAGGAAGGAGAATTGCTGGAGCCTTAGTACGTGATGGAAGCTGCAGACCGGAGTTAGCAGTGATGTGCCACTCTGGTGTGCGGGCGGAGGACACCTGCTCTCCTATGGCCGGCTACACTGCTCTGTGCACCCGAGACTGCAGTAAGGCGACACTGATGAGCTATTTAAAACCACATTTCGGGGACTGGGGTGCCACTCAGTGGTGGATCTTGGGGCGTACGTGTGAGGCCTTGGGTTCATTTCCAGCACCACAAAAAAAAAAAAAAAAATCAAGAAACCCCAACACAGGCCTCCTGGACCGGCTGCCCAGGCCCAGGCCCTTGGTGACACTAGTGGTGGCCACTCCAAGTGCTGGTGGACCCTGCAGGTCTGGGTCCCCTGCTTTGTCCACAGTTGCTCCCTCAGCCCTGCAGCCCCGGCACGTTTCGGTCAGTACCCCGTCCTGGGGCTTGCCATGCTCACCTGTGCAAGGTATGCTCTGTACAGGAAGACATCCCTCTCCACTTCTCTCTCTGGGCTTGACAGCTGTGGGGACACAGAGGAGGTCAGGACAAGCAGGTGAAGTGCACGACAGCCACACGGGGCCACCTTGGAGACCCAGAGCTGGCAGACTCCCCAGCAGGGTACAGTCTGAGCCCCAGCTCAGACCTCAGTTGCCTGTGACCCCAGGTGGCCCAAGGGTAGCCCCAGCTGTGGGTGCCACTGTGTGGAAGGCCCTGACTGCCCAGAGGCTTGATCATCACCCCAGCTGTACCAAGCTACAGAGATGGCACCTCGAGTGCTGCACTCGCGGCCGCTCACACTCCCGCCTGCTTTCCTTTCATCATGCCTTTTCTTTGAGACGTGGTCTCACTATGCTGCCCAGGCTTGGCCTTGAACTCCAGATCCTCTTGCCTCGGTCTCCCAAGTGCTGGGATCACAGGTGAGGCCACCGCACCCATATTTCCCTCCGCTCTTAAAAACGACACAAAGAAATGACCCAAACATAGTATGCACATATGAATAAATAAATAAGTAGAAACGACACACACTGGAGACGAAAGCCCACCTTGCTCAGCTGCTCTGCCCTGCCATGTCCAGCGAGGGCCTTTCTGGGAGGCCCGGCTTGGTTACCCCACATCAAGGACCTCTGCCTCCCGCCCAGGCCTGGCAGCACCCTGGGGTCCATGGGACCCGGTCTGCAGGCCTCAGTGCAGCCACTCCGAGAGTCAGGCACCGGAGAGGGGAACTCGTGCAGCACGTGCACGGGACTGGAGGAAGCTGATCCCATCAGGCGGGAGGCGGGGGCGCTGGCTCAGAAGAGCAGCTGGATGTCCCCAGAGTGCTGGCTGACACCTGGGGAGCGAACAGTAGCACAGTACAGCTCAGTGCAGGGCTCAGGACCATGGCCCAGGCCATCTGGGTGGGAGAGAAGTGCTTGTGGAAGGAAACCTGCCACTTCCAGGTGCCATACCAATGGCCTCCAAAACCACAGTGCCTGGACAGCCTGCGTGAGTGCCTGTCAGCCCCTGCGCACGGGGACAAGTTCCCAGCAACGCACAGCTGGGGGCACAATAGGACCACCCATTCCCAGCTCCAGCCCTGGCCTTTTCCCTAGCTGGAGACTGTAGCAGTGAATGTTCCTTTCACAGCCAGGGAAGCCTGCCCCACCAACTCAGGTGGTGTCACCAGGAGCCCAGCAGCTTCTGTGTAGGCCTGGTGCCCGTGACTTGGAGCATGGCATCTTCTAAGCAATTGTCACTCACGACCTGCAGAGGTGGACACCAGCAAGGACAATAGGCTGCGATCCCACACCATCCTCACTAAAAACAAAAAAGAGCTGGCCTGATGCCAGTCAGCAGACAGAGGCCTCGATTTGAGGCCAGCCTGGGAAAACTTAGCGAGACCCTGCCTCAAAAACAAAATACAACTGGCGCTGGTGACTCACACTGTTAATCCTAGCTACGCAGGACACGAGACATAAGGAGGACCGAGGTACAAATAGGCAAGACCTTATCTCAAGAAAACCCAACACAAAACAGGGCTGGCAGAACGGCTCAAGTGGTACGCCTGCTAGCAAGCATGAGGCCCTGAGTTCAAACCTCAGTACTACCACAAAGACGAAACAAAGCTGTGTGCAGCCCACGGGGTAGAGCAGCTCATGGAGTGCCTGGGGCCCACTCCAGCACCCCAAGAAAAGACAGATGCTGCTGCTCTTGTGTCTGGGGCAGGACGCAGTGTAGCACTGGAAGGTCCCAGTAGGGTCAGGGCCAACTTGGCCTGTTTGGCCCGTGTTTTTTTGTACCTTATGAGAGAATCTTCCATCTGACAGGGGACAGAAAACCCGCTGGGGCTGCAGTGTGGGCCCGGCCAGCTGGCCAGGGCAGGAAGAAGTTTGTGGGACGATCAAGGATATATATACCCAGATGTATGGACACAGAAAGTTTTCTAGCCAGGATCTCGATGTGGAGCCTGGGCAGCCACTGAATTCCCAGGTCAAGCGATCCTCCTACCTTGGCCTCCAGAGAAGCTGAGTCACGGGATCCCGGCCCCGCAACCCAGCTCACCGCAGTGCCTGGCCCACGGCAGGCCCAGCGGGATGCACTAGGCCCACAACTGCTTCTAGAACATCCAGGTGGGTGTGCTCAAGTTGTGGCCAAACCACCTGCCTGAAGGGACAGGAGAGCCGGGGTCGCACACAGCCCCAGCCCAGGCCTGTGGGCTGAATGAACATTCAGGAGCTGGCAAGTCTGCCAGGAGCTTGACTGGGACCTGGCCGGAGGCCCTTGCTAAGTGCTGGGCCACCAGAGGCGGTGCATTTCCGGCAGGTCCCTCGCTGTTCACTGGGGCAATGGACCCTGGGAAGCCAGCCTGGTGGCACTATAGGTTCTGCCTGTCCCTTTGCAGGAACCCAGCAACACAAGACAACAGTGCCTTGGGCTGTGTTCCTGTTGCGCTCAGTCCTGTGGGTGGCCCTGGAGACCACTGTCTCATGAGCACCACGGGGGCTGAGGCATTGCGCAGGCCTCAACTCCACAGCGCAGTCCACAGAGGACAACTCCCGGGGGGCCCCACCTCCTGCCATCCCTTTCCTTCATGGTTCTGTGTGGCCACAGAGTCGCCCAACTACACAGTATCTGTTTTAGCCTTGGCCCAACATCTGGGTGGTGCCTGCCACCTGGTGGACACTTGATAAGTGTTAGTGTGTTGGCAGGGGAATGCCACACTGGTGACAAAGCGCTGTGACCAATGAAGGATAAAGGCACCGTATGCTGTGGAGCCACCCTGGGGACCTGTCTGAGGTTGCCGCGGCCACAGTGGTTTAAGACATTAGAAGTGCGCCGTGTCAGTCCTGGAGGCCAGAAGTCCACAAAAAGAAGTGGCAGGGACAATGTCTTGGGGTAGCGGCCCTCCTGACGCCCCTGGCCGTGGCTGCAGCCCTCCGATCACACGTCTGTCTCCAGCTGGCTCAGATCTCCCTCTGCCGCTCTTGGAGGACAAGTGGCATTGGACTGCCGAACTCAGGATCCCAGATGGCCGCACCGAGAGACCCGTCTTCTTCCACACAGCCTCGTTCACAGGGTGCACCTGTGTACCCCGACCCAGTCCAGGGACAAAAAGGGGTCAGGAGGCCTGGACCAGGTTGGAGCACATGGAATGGCTAGCAGGGATGGCAGTGCCACACCTCTGGAACTTGGGGAAGAAACATCTCCTGTGGTGACAACACCCCTACAGAGGCACAGATCTGGGACGGGGCTCGCCACTCTGATGTCTACATCTTTACCTTTGTGGCTGTCCAGTCACCCTGGTTCTCGTGAGCTTCGGTTTTACTGTGCAAGAAAATCAACCTTGTGTTGCCGGGGTGTAGCCGACCAGCATATTGTTGGTATAGACGAACGGCTTACAGCAGAGGGCAAAAGACAGACTGTGAGGGTAACACCGACCTCCCACTGATCCCGTAACAGGTGTCATCATTTCCACGGGACAGAGGGGAAGCTGAGGCTCAGAGAGGCGCAGTGACCCAGCACTGAAACCTGAGCACAGTTCTGGCTGGCTCTTCCCATGGGCAGTGCCTGGCCAGAGATGCGCACAGTCCTGCGGCGAGGGAGAGGAGAAAATAAGTCCCCACCCTGACATCCACACCACTGTCCTAGAGGTGTGAAAAGGTGGTATTACGTGACAAAGAGACTTTGCAGATGTGACTAAGGTTACAGACCCTAAGAGGCCAGGCCGGACAACCCAGATGGGCTCAATCGGATCATGCAAGTCAGCCAGGCTGGGTGGCCACACCCGTGAACCCGCCCTTGAGAGGCGGGAGGATGAGAGTCCCTGGCCTGGCTACACAGTGAGACCTTATCTTAAAAAAAAAGAAAAAAAATACATATATATACATTTTTTTTCTAAATGGCACCTTACTGAACACGTACAGACTTCTTTTGCGTGCCCAGAATCCCTAAGTAGTGCGGACACCTGCTAGTTACAGAGCAATGACACCATGAGGGGATTACAAAGTCATCCATGGGCCATTTCCAGTGATGGGAGGACATGCATGGGTGACACATGCACACTGATCAGACTGGGAGTTTTCAGCTGCTCCATTTCCAACCTGGGCCAGTTTGCCCCTCTCAAGGTCACCTGGTAGTCTCCTGCTCCCAAGGCCACTATATTGAGGCTGAACTTACCGTGGCCACCGGCCACCACAGCACACTGTAGCCCTGAGCTCCAGGGCCTCCATGTCAGCCTCCTGAGGAGCTGGGACCGCAGGCACAGTGCATGTGGCTTTGTTTGAGGTTTTGTCCCCGTCACACACACGCAAGATGACAGCGCATAGAATGCTAGCTTCTCTCCCTCAGAGGTCAAGTTTCTTCCAACCCAAGCAAGCCCACCAGCATCGGGAAGGCCTGCCCCCCAGCCTGGTACACTGACAACCACCTTTGGAATACAAAATCACACCTGCATGGCTGGCCAGGCCTCACCGCACCATCTTGGCCCCCTCGCTCATGCTTGGCAAGCACTCTGTGGCTGAGCTGCCCTCTTACATCTCAGTGTCCCCAAGCTTGGCCCGCTGCTGCACCTTCTCAGCAATCCACAGGGCCAGCTCGGGTCCCAAGGCACCGCGAGGGGCCTGGCTTGGCCTGGTCACTCCCACGGGAGGCAGGGCCCACCGTGATTTTTTGACCCAGGACGTTTTATGCCCTCACCACACAGGGCCACCTCAAGTTCTAATTATGTATTTGCCACTCCTGTACTTGCTTACTGCTTCTGTATTCATTTTGGGGGTGCTGGGGATGGAGTCCAGGCCTTTGCTCATACCAGGCAAAGACGTACCCCCCCTCCCAGGCTGTGACAAGGGTCAAACAAAGGCCCTGTCACAGTCACTGTACTTATGCAAGTGACAGCAGGATCCTATCCATCTCAGAGATCTGGAAGGGACATCCCTGCTGTCCCTTCTCCACCCAGGCCTCACGCGGCCACGCTCAGAGCTGCCACTGTTACTCGGCCACTTCCCAACTTCACTTTCTGGTTCGCTGTTATCCCTGTCACTAGGCTGAAGTTCCGAGAAGCTGAGAGTTCTAACTGGTCTCAGAGCCCAGCCTGAATACAGCGCCGGATCTGCCCAGATCGAAACTCCAAGGAGGAGTGAGTGAGCGATGCTATAAACGAGCAAACTGCAGGACGAAGAACCAGGCTAGTGGACAGAGCTGCTCGGGAAGGCCAATTCCCAGTCTGAGCCCCTCGTGTTCCTATCAAGTAACAATAAGTGACAGGTGGCACTCTCAGTCACAGAGCAGACGGAAGGGCAGATAAAAACTTTATATGTTGGTGGTACTGCGATTCGAACTCAGGACCTTGCACTTGCTAGGCAGGTGCTCTGCCACTTGGGCCACACCCACAGGCCTTTTGCTTTCCTTATTTTTTGGATAGGGTCTCACATTTATGCCCAGGCCAGCCTGGACAACGATCCTCCTGTTTATGCTTCCCCTGTAGCTGGGATGACAGATATGTGCCACCACACTCAGCTTTTTATTGTTGAGATGGGGTCTCACTCTTTGCCCAGGCTGGCCTGGAACTGCAATCCTCCCAATCTCCTCCTCCTTCCCAAAGCTGGGATTACAGGTTGTGCCACTGCCACGGGCACAAATAGGGATTTTTTGAGCCAGTGTGGTACCTCACCCCTGTAATTCCAACACACCAGGGAGGTTAGCCAGGAGGCTCACAAGTTCCAGGCCAGCGGGCGGAGGAGAACTAGGCAGTTAGGAGACCTGATGGCTGAGGACGTGGCTTGGATGTTGATAAAGGATCAGATCCTAGGCTGCTGATGTTTAACAAAATGACTTGTGCCACACAGCACAGTCTTGCTGACCTGCAGCTTCTGGAGCTCACAGAAAATAACAGCCTCAGTCTGACCATCCAAGGCCAAAACTCCCCTGCCTAACACGTGGGAGGAGATGATAACATGGAGCCCAGGCCAAGAATTAATGACACGTAACCCAGTTTCCTAGGACTGACCATCCCTACCCTGCAGACCCCAAAAAAGCTTGAGGTCCTGGGACCCCAGTACAGCTCCCTCTTGATTCGGACCCCCTCCTATTAAGGGCACCTTTGCTTTGCACAGCTGGCTCTGGGTCCTAATAAATTGCTTCTCCTGCTTGTCTGTCTTGGTAAATTCCTTTATCAACCCATAGAACCCAAAATCCACGACACCCAGTCTCAAAACGAAGAGAGCCCGTGCGTTATCATGAAAGTCTGTGATCTCGAGATCAAGTTCAATATGGGCAATGATATCGAGACCCCGTGTCAAAATACAAACAAAATGGGCAGGGACAATTTGGTGGGACTCTTCAGCGAGGGTAGAGCATATGACCAAAGTACACTGCATGCATGTATGGAAACCTCGTAATGAGTGAAAGCCATTTAAAAAATTCCAAAAGCCGGGCGTTGATGGCTCCCACCTGTAATCTCAGCTACTTAGGAGGCTAAGACCGGAGGATCGTGGTTCCAGGCCAGCCTGGGCAAGTAGTTCCTGAGACCCGCCCCCCTCCCCCCACACCACCAATATTCAAAATAACCAGAGAAAATTGGGCTGGTGGGGTGGCTCAAGTGATAGAGCACCTGCTTTGCAAGTGCAAAGCCCTGAGTTCAAATTCCAGTCCCCCCCAAAAAAAAAAAAAGTACAGTAACGCAAACACCTCCCTCCCTCCCTCCTCGTCTTCCAATAAATAACACAAACTGCTACCAACGATTACGCTCACTACCCAGGCAGAGGCGCGCGGGGCAGACGCGGCAAGAAGAGCAAAGGCTTTGAGAAGTGACCGGCCGCCACCTCGAAGCGTCCTCCGCCCCCAGCGTCCCCCCCCAGCGCCACCCACCTTCACCCGCTGCGCCTCGTTGATGCACTGCTGGTAGCTGCCGATGTAGAAGGCGTTCTTCACGTCGAACAATTCACCACCTCCCCAGAACCACCGGGGACCGGGCCGGGAGCTGGCGGAGCCATGTCGCGGTCTTTCTCACCCGCAACTCTTCCTGAAAGACACGTAGAACGGAAGTAGAGCCCCTGCGGCGGGGCACCATGGGAAGTGTAGTTTACCCCTTTCGAGTGGCGTTGAATGAGCCAATGGGAGGCTTTAAACGGGAGTAAAGGGGCGGGCAACGCAACCGCGTCTCGCAAGGCATTCCGGGATTTGTTGTTTTACTGGATCCGGCCGGCGCATGGGATTCGGGGAAACAAAAGGATGCGCTCGAGGCTAGGATTGGCTGAGGGAGCTGGAGAGGGTGGGCCCACATAGGAATCAGATCCAATAAACGTGGAAGGAGTGTGTGATGTCACGGCCACGCGCCGGAAGCGCTTCTCCCAGGGTTCCCCACGGTTGGTGGCGAGGATGGCCGGCTTCGCGGAGCTTGGACTGTCATCGTGGCTGGTGGAGCAATGTCGGCAGCTAGATTTGAAGCAACCCACGCCCGTGCAGCAAGGCTGCATTCCCGCCATCCTGGAGGGTGAGTGCCCAGCGCCTTCCCTAAAAGTCATCTCTGCTTTTTCGCCTCCTTTCCCATCTCGCAGCCTGTGCCCAGGCAGATCCCACGAGGCGGGGCCGGGCAGCCTTGGGTGTTTGGGGAACCCAAGTTCCAGAAGGATTTAGGGCATGCGAGTGGCTCGTGTGTACACACACTACTGGTGCCATCTTTGAAACTTTGCCTCCAAGGGAAGGGTTTGATGAACAACTAATCGACAACGCTGAAAATTTGGGAGAGCCGGCACTATTTTATCTTGACAAATAGAAACCCAATTTGTCAGAATTATCGGAAAATCCAGGATTCCTTGGTCCTAGGACTGCTCTTCTGGCCCGACTCAGTTTTTGCACTTAAGAGATACCCACGGAAACTTGGGATGGCACACGTTGAGGGAGTAAAATAAACCAAGGATCAACAAAGAACACTGGACACAGACAGATTCAGAGTTCCCCAAACTCAGATGCTCGGGGAATATGTCAAAATTACTAGCAACATCTCAGGCCCTTCTCATCAGCTGGTGAGCCTCCGAGACTCAGTTTCCCCCTCCGTTCAATGGAGCGAACAGCTTGTCTTGCTAGAATTTGTCCGTTGTCCGCAGCGAAAAGGCAGAGGTCAGGACTTGGTGCACAGTGATGACTCACCACGTGCTGGCTGTTGTGGGTTTGGGGTGCAGCTCCATGGTGCACGAACCCTGGGTTCCGTCCCCAGCACCGCAAAACAAACAATGGTGGACGAGTAAACGTTAGCTGAGGCAAAAATCGCTCAAGAATGAGCCATTTGCACGTGCATTCAGTGCGCGCGGTTTGTCTTTCTGTCCAGGTCGGGACTGCTTGGGCTGTGCCAAGACGGGCAGTGGCAAGACGGCGGCATTCGTGCTGCCCATCCTGCAGAAGCTGTCTGAGGATCCCTACGGCATCTTTTGCCTCGTCCTGACTCCCACCAGGTGAGCCCCGCATCAGCCCCAGGGCGGGAGTTAACCGCTGTTTCTTTCCTCAAGCGCCTATGCCTCTCTGCGCCACGTTTTTCCCACGTGTGACATGAGACGAAAGTCACCTGCAGAATTAAATCAGATGGTGTGCGTGACAGCCTCAGCACGGGGCTGACTCAGGTGGCAGCTGTGAGCGGTCACAGCCCAAGACCTGCCTGCAGGTCAGAAAGGGCGCTGGGGACGGATTTACAGCCAGTGAGAAACATGGCCTCCAGCGCCAGGCGGAGGGAGAAATGACTCTGAGGACGGGGGCCAGGCCAAGGCCTGGAGAC